GAAGCCCTATGTACCACCAGGAACCCAAGGGAGCAATAATAGTAATATTAGGTCCTGAGTGTTGATTTGCTTTAATTCAGTTAGTATCCAGCCATACTACTGTCTGACTAATATTTTGTTCTTTACATCTGAAGGTGCAGTCTAGGTCTTCAGTGGTACACCTTCAGTCCATTCAAGTCTCCGTCATAACCTTTACCTGATTGTCTATAAGCTTGTATTTCATCCTAAAATGATCGCCTCCATGCCATCCTTGAACTACCAACTCAGCGTTTCCCATTTAAGGCACTCTTTTAAGGTATGCCATATGATGTCATTTGAAGATCTCCTGAGATTATGTCAAATCCATCTAAAATTAGTTAGCCACAGGTTCTTGACTGGTTCTCCTCCTGAAAGAGTTTCAGAGTACCCGATTTCATTCTGCTCTGACTTCAATGAAAACGCCTTTGGGTGGAAATGTTCATGTAAGAAATGACTGAAAACATCTTGTGGTCTACTAACTAGCCCGTCGTCCTAAACGTGAAGATCATACAAAGTCTGGCGTAGAAATAGAAACCTCAACAATTAAATAAACACATTTTTTATCGGTACAGAAGAAGCAAACTTGGACCTGCTAAGGTGACCGGTGATTTGAAAATAGATGATGCCGATTGGTGAAAGCCATCCAGAATCCATTCTGCCGATAATCTGTCTTCCAATTAAAGTGAAAGAAGGCATAGTGGCAAAACATTCTCTGCTGAGGAAACCTTCAAATGATATTACACGTCTAACCCTCGGATTGGAAGCGACAAACTAACCATCTGATAGTGACATGAGGAAGATTTGTGAGGAGAAAATGAAAAATTTGTGGCCAATCACGCAGCCATTTGGAAATGATGACAAAGAAGTGATTGCGATGTAGATGGGCCAGTGATGGCTTATTTTTCACTCGGCACTCACGAAATAAACAACACAACATTATTTACAAGCCTTCATTGTCAAAGCAACCTTTCTCATTAAAAAATATAATTCACAGGATACAGTATTTTACCCGTGTCCTACTGATTTACACATTGTTTAACTTCGGTGTTTAAAACGTTGCTGTTAAAATTAGGCTGAAACTGATATACAGTCTATAGAAGTCTACAGGAGCATTGTGTTTCTATTCCCTGTGTCTTCCAGTAACACAAATAGAATGGACAGTCGAAAAACTGTATAAAAAAAGTAGTTTTCAAGTATTGATTTTTAGGGATTTTGTTTGATTTCATGGGGAATTTGACCATGAGCTGACATCAGTTAGAGAACCACTGAAAACCAGCTGGGAGTACGAAACAGCTGTCCAGTACTCCCAGGTTTTCTAGTGGTTCTCTAACTGATGTCAGCTTATGGTCAAATCCCCCAAGTAAAAAGTAGTTGTCAATGTATACCTATCGTGCGTCGCTGGTACAGCGGTTACGACAGTCGCTGACCATGTAGTATGGTCCGAGGTTCGATCATCGGCCACCGACGCACTCCTTTACCTGGCTAAGCCATTAATAGGTCTGGTAAAGAGGAAAGGTTGGGCATGAGGCTGGCTAGCAACCCCATCCTGTAAAAATAAACACCGCTGCTACAGAAAATTCAAGCCTCTAACCTGAAGCCCTGTGTTCCACTGGGAACGTGAAGAAAACAAAAACACCTGTCAGTTCCAAATTCATATTGACATGAATCACTTTCGTTTATGAACACTTGTGGTCATCCCTCAAGAATTCAATCTGGCAGTCAGTTACTACTATTGCTGTTTTCGTAAAAGTATGGGCTGAAATGAAATGTGCTGAATTTGATTGAACACTAGTAACTAGTGTCCTGTCCTTTTTTGGGCAGACTGAAGTCTCTCAGTCAGGTTTGCAATATGGTCCCCATCACAGTGCACATTGATTTAATGGTATTAGCTGGTTGGAGGCAATCGACCAAAGGAAGCCCTGGAGCTAGGTTTTGTATCAGTCGCCACTCACCAGTCAGTAAGGCGTAACTGCAACCTTCAAAGAACTCATGTCCGAGATTCGAAACCGCATCACCCAGTGACGCCTACAGTCAGAGGCGTAACCACTGAGCTATTCAGGCTTGTGACTGACCTTGTGTAGGACTATATTGTCTATTTTTTATTGATCGTTAGTTATTGGTGATATATATATATATAGAAAACTAGTTCAATCTCGAGTGGACCCTTGAATGTGTACTTCTAGTTTAGTATAATATAAAGTGAAAAACTTGTCCAAACTTTAGTTTTTTTTCAAATATTCTTTGGATAATCCCTGTTTCTGATAGAATCAACACATCTCTGAACATTTTCCAGGAATGTGCAGGATAGCTACCAGCTCGATTCTGGAGCACTTGATGAACTCAAGCCACGCAGCTCCACAAGAGTAGCCTTCAAGATTATCTACAAGGTGAAACCAAATGGTACAAAGGGTGTTAAGTTTCGGCATTTATGCATACAATACAATCTTGAACTATGTGTGTCGGAAACGTTTGTCCAGTCTCTTATTCTACCATGATCTTAACCCCTTCATTAGTTGTTCCCTGTAAATTTTTTAACTTTAGTTTTAATCATTAGTTTGCTTTTACCTTTATTAATAATTAATTCAATATTATCACTCTCGTGTGTTCCTTTTTTACATTATCTCACCCTCTGCATACTTGTTAAACGGACAATTAACTACCTTTATTCTCACTCAATAACAATTGTAACCCCATCAGATTTCTAACACTTTCTTCCTTTGTGCCACTGAGTATTAGGTAATTTACAACTTCTACTAATTTTACATATGAAGCCACTTCTGAGTAATTATATCCGTAATGTCACCCCACCCCTTATTACTCACTAATGGACTAGTATACATTTTTGGTAAATATAAATACGACTTTACAGCCTGCCTTGAAGATGATTCCGTCGATAAAGAAAATTTTCCTCAAAGAGAGTACTTTAAAAATCCTTGAAATTGATTTCAATATTCAATAATGTCACTTGGTAGTTGACAATTTTGATACCCAGTTTTCAAGAAGACAGTTGCAGCGAAGAAAATTTTCTTTTCGACGAAGTCATCATCTAGGCTGTACATTCCTGTATTGATATCAAATGGATAGGAAAGTTCCAGAATAATTTCCGGTTAAGGGTCAAATTAATAAAAATTAAAATTAGGGATTAAAATGCCATAATAAACAGGGTGACGGATAAAACAAACAAAGTAGCATCATAATTACTAAGAAGATTGACATTGGGCTGTTGGGGGTTGGAAATGTAGAAATAGTAAAATGACAAAATAAACACTAAGTTCGGGTATGAAAATATGGTAGTGTAAACAGGGATTAAGAAAAACTTTAAAAAATAACATGAATAAACAGGAAGTTTAGATAAGAAAGGCGATGGGATGGTCATCACTAAAAAATTACCTGTTTATGACGGCCATGGCAGGGACAGGGGTCGGACGTATTTCTTTTGGATACAAAGCGTGGGTTTGAGCTTTTGGATAGCTAGCGCCTTGGCTATGCCCAGATATCTTGATTTCACTCCCTTTGATAGGTTTGATTGAATCTTGTATACTACTTTGAAGGATTTTTCGAAAGGTGCTGAATGTCCTGAATTAACCAGGTGTTCTGTCACTGAACTGTATACACACTTTTGATCTCCTTTTACTAACCAGGCTGGGTAGTGTTTACGAGCACGTTTTTCAAGTCGGCGCATGGTACAACCGATGTATTCAGCTCCAAATACACAGTGAAGTGTCCCAATGCGACAGCTTGTCTTTCGCGTTCTGGCTGAACAGTTTCTTGTAGGAAAACGTCAGTCGTAGGCTCACGGTGAAGTGTGTTTTCCTCAGCGATTTGGAGAGGCGCTTACGAAGGATTTCTTCTTCAATATCACCATTGAATTCTAGATTAAGCATAAGTATTTTCTTTAGAACTGATTGGACTTGTTCGGAAGTCTTCTTAGATTTGAGATTCTCGTCTATGAACCTGGGCGGGAAACTGTTTTCCATCAGGGATTTTTGAAGATTACTCAGTTTTTCTTCAATCACTTCCTCGCTGCATATCTTCCGAATTCTCGGGGATAGAGCGTATATCAGGTTCCTCTTTCTGCTTAGCGTCACAAAGATTTGAAAGTTGATGAATTTTCCATTCCGTGTAGGCTTTTTGTTTATGGACCTTTTCAGAGAGTTGTCGGCGTTTCTTGTCAGATGGACGTCGAGAAAGTGGAACATTCTGTCGGATTCAGTCTTAAGTGTAAAGTCGATGTTTGAGTGGGCGTTGTTGAATATTCTGAAGTAGGTTCTCTAAATCACAATTCTCATCACAAATAATGAAAGCATCATCGATATATCTCCTGTAGAGATGGAGGTCGTTAGTAGTTGGTTTTCATAATTATAAGCAATTATTATCAGTACTCATCTTTAAACTCATTAGAATTGCACATATGAATCCGTGTCACTTAGTATTACATTTGAATATCTTTCTCCATAATCTATCAGTGAAGCAAATAATCGATTTTAAGTTCGCACTTACTACACTATACCATGAAACTTTATAATCACAGTATTGATTCCTTTAATTTAACTATTCCGATACGTGATTGAAATATACGAATTGAATAATTCCCTCTTACGAAATTTACAATGAATACATAAAGGAATGTCAAGTTGATGCTCACTGAAAACTTTCGTCAACAGCTGCCTTCACTGGTGCCATAGTGAAAATCAGATAGCCAGCCAGAAAGGATTGGAAAACAACTAACCAAGAACCTGATGGCTGATGAATATGCGGGGAAAAACTTGGGGGACTGATCAAACACAGTCTGAGAAGATGGTTGTAAGACATCATGTCGAGAGAAATCCGAAAAGGAAACGACAAGTTAAGCAAGTATCGGGGGAAAACACAAAAGAGATCATGTGAGGAGGAGATATACAATGGAATCCCTATATTCTACTTAGAACCAAAACGAATAATAGTAACAAAAATCAATTATTCAATCAATAAAATATACTTACCGATTTCATAGAAATATTATTTCCATCAAATCTACTCAAACTTAATACATCATCATACGAACTATTGATTAAAGTAGTATCATTATTACTATTATTATTATTATTGTTACCGACATTATTGTAACCACGTATATTTGTATGTCTTTTAGATTTGTGTAAATGTTTTAAAAAGCTGAAACCATCATTACGAATAGTATTTCGTACATGCACTATAGGTGAATGACAATGACTGCGTGATTTTGTATTCAACAAGCCATGTTGGTCTTTACTAATATTATTAATACTATTATTACTAGTTTTGCTGTTATTAGTATTAATATTGCTCTTCTTATTGATCACACTACTGATAAATGTATTATTACCATAATTGTAAATTGAACGTAATTTAGAAGGGATTGAACATGTTGAATAGTTATTATTATTATTATCAATCAATGCTGATCGATGCTTCGTAAGCAATTGATTTTTTGAATCAATAAATTTTGAATTATCCAATAGTAATTTATTATATGATAAATATGAATTATATTTTGTTGATGAAGATTTATGATATGATTTATCAAATGTATTAATATAATTATTATTTGAATGTTTTATATGGTAATTATAATCCCTTTCAGAGGATATACTACTTGGTTGATAGGCGTTATTACGTGGGGATAAATGCCTTAATGACATAATTGATTTAGGAGTTGATTTAATCTATTTTGTAAGAGAATTATAATAAATGTGATAAGACAGTTAGTTGCACTGTTTGTTTAAATCTATCATGTCCAATGTGTTCAAGGTCATACTGGTTTCCATACTCTGTAATTCATTTCACTTCAAATTTAAATTTAAATTATGAAAAATTATAAAATGGATGAAAAAGTTAATTAAATAAACAGGAAAAGAAAACAATCATTTTGAAAATTTGTTCAAATGAACTTTAAATAATAATTGTTGCAGACTTTTTTTCATTCAACTTTTCTTTGTGTGTATTTTGTGTAAGTTTTGAAATAGAATGATTATTCAATAAGGTAAGTGGCTATGTCAACCAATCAAAAAGCAGCGATTAATACACAAATATGAATTTAACTCATAAGTTTTGTTTACGTCTATTTTGTTTATTTGTTTATTTAACTTGAAGTAGGTTAATGAGCTTGTCTTTGTGTAAGTGTGTGAGTGGGCGTCGGTATGTCAATAGACATATCGTTGTATATACTTATCTGTGCGTAGGTGTTCGATGAGTTCATTGCACTCCTGTTGAGTATATATATATATATACATATATACAAATCTCCTATAATAATGTTGGTGAGTCACCTAGCTTGGTGACGATACTGAAGACAAAGAATTCAGCGAAGAAAATTCTCTTTTCAACGACTTTATTTTCTTCAAAACACAAAATACTTGAGCAAAGAATATCTTTTTCGGCAACTTCCTCTTCTCGCTCTACAATTATACATATACGTATATGTTTATATACATAGAATGTTCTAGATTAGTAGTCAATAACAATATTAGTGCTTTTTAAATAATATCGATTTGTATAATGGAATTACAGTTCAATAAAGATGCTGGACACTGGACACCAGTGAAATAATTAAAAGCTTAAAATTCTGTCTAGAAAGTAATTATTTTACATTTTAAGGGAGTTTATATGGTGTTGCTATGGGTTCACCGGTTTCCCCAACAGTTGCCGACTTTTTCATGAATAAATTCGAAAATAACATCTTTTCAAGCATCCTCACTCCTAAAAAGTGGTTAAGATATTTGGATGATACTTTCGTAGTACTAAAACGAGATCTACACAATTCATTCCTGGAGAAAATAAACTGTGTATCTCCCAGAATCCAGTTCCTTCGGAAGCAGCATCAGACTTCGGTGAACTACCATTTCTGGACTACCTAGTTAAAGGAAAGGAAAACGGACATTTTAGTACATCCATATTCAGGAAGAAAACCCACTCCAATAAATATTTAGACTTCAAATCACCACACCCCATCAGTGCAAAGATTTCAGTTGTTTCAAGTCTTCTCAGACGAGCACAATCTTTGATGTCAACAAATGAGAAAGAAAAAGATGAAGAAATATCAAACAATACTGAAACTCTCCAGGAAAACAACTACCCAAGGAACTTCATCAACAAAATCAACACAGACATTAAGTATGGCCGATAAAACATTCTGAAGACATGCATATCAGCAGTCGTCATTCCATATAGAGCAGAGACGTAAGACGATATCAGAAGAGTACTCAATCAGCTCGACATTACAGTTTTCTTCAAAACATCAGACACACTACGAAACAACCTTGTCCATATAAAAGACCCAATCCATATGATTATCTATCTAATTGTTTCTATAAGATAAAATTCTTGGAATGTGATGCGATGTACATCGGACAAACATCTCGAGAAATCATAATCAGAAGAAATGAACGCCGTAGAGCATCTATTCAACCTTCGAGAAATCCGGCTGAACTCGAAAAACTTGAAAAGTCATCAGCCAAAGGTGGTCTACATGACGCCTCAGAATCAGGCCACAAAATTGATTTTGACACTATTGAAATAATCCAGAAATCTTCAGAAATCACAAACAACGTTTAATATCAGAAGCCACCACTTCATATCAAGTGGAATAGGAATGATGGACCTTTATATCTTTGACAGTTTATCCTAAGATGCGACCATTTGTCTTATATACAATCTTCTTTATATAACATTGATTATCATCTGAGGTCTGGTGACTAGATTTCGAAGATGATATATATATAGAGGGCTAGGTAGTCAGAGAGAATAACTAGCAAGGCAATGTTGTAGCAAGCAGTGAACCAGCCAACAGCATATTCACTTAATAGTTATGCACAGTGGCATGGAGACGGTCTAGGTAGATATACACTGACGAGACAGTGAAGTGACATTACACATTAGGTTCAATAAAAAGGAAGTCATGAAATGACGACCAGATGTCCGATGATGAAAGCTTGAGAGCAGAGGGTTGGGTGGAATGAAGGTGTGTCACTGAATGAAGTATATTTCACTCGGAACATGTTAAATACAATCCGTCATTTGAATGATGTAATACTTGTGTTATAATCTGCATACTTTAGGCATAGATAAGTCGTTTCAAATAAACCGAAAGACTTCATTATCAAGTAGGTTAGAAGTACTCTGCATGTGAGTAAAACCGCAAATAAAATAATATGCGCTCAGAGTTCAGGGATGTGAATCAATGGATAACAATCGAGGCGATCATAATAGTAACAAGGATAAATTCATTCAAGTCTTTGTCTAATCAAGGTAATCAAACAGTAAGTATATAGGCAGAATGTTCATACTAAAGGGGAAAACAATCTATGTCACATAGCGATTGGATAATAAAGTAGTAATAAATAATGAAACTAAGAATAAAATGTACAACTACAGCATAGCATGATATTGGTAATACAGTTAGCACTATATATAAAATAAAATAACAAGGTAATATTTACAGTTATGTGGTTCCACCGAAAGAGATAACTGTTTGAAGTTGGCGGTAAAGGCCGAGGAAGGATGAGAGAGAAATTGAACAAATATTTTCTGAACACAGAGATTGGGCTGAAAAAAATCATTATGGCAACTGCCTCAGCTAATCTTAGCAACGAAGACGTACCAACCTAGGGAGTTGAGGCACCACTACGTGCAGAATTGTTAAATCAGAATTTTTGTCAATTTCGTCCTCCGTATCTACTAGGTGTACCAGTATGGGGCTTAAGATTGACTTTACGACTCCTATATCTAGCCATGTTGGAAAATGCTTCAGAAGGCGACGGTGAGCTTGCCGAGCAGTTCTACCTATGTAGCTGTCTCTACATGAACAGTTAAATTTATAAACACACATAGAAGTGGCCAAACTCGGTAGATCATCCTTCACCTGTACAGGAACTATACAGCGAGTGGTCAATTTTAAACTTATTATTGTGTCAAAAGATGCTTCAGGGATTCAGATTCTGCGTCTGCTTGAAGTTATGTATATCAGTTTCTTCTGCATTATCTACAGGCGTTTCTTCCTATCTGCTCTCCTCAGGGAGACCTTATCAAATTTTTTGGGTATCCTTTCTCGCATAAAAGGGTGTTAGTTGTGCAGATCTTTCTAGCGCGATGCATCAAGGTACTGATAAGAATTCGTTTGTATGCAAGGGGAACAACCGACCTGAAATGGACGTGTGTATTAGTCAACCCATGACTTCTTCCGGAAAATACCCTCCCTAATACTGTCATCTTGCCTTATTGTTAACAGGACATCAAGAAATGATAAGGTGTTGTCTTTCTTATATTCATATGTGAACTCAATTTGTGGATGAGGCATACTGAACTTTTGGAGAAGGACCTCGGTGTCGATTTTATCATTATGTAAGATAAAAGTATCATCCATTAATGCATAAACACTTGAATGAATTTGTCCTTATTGTTATTATTACTATTATTATGGTAATCACCTCGACTGTTATCCAGTTAAATGATAAACAGTGACACTGAACTTCCAATTCGTGAAAGATAGTGCCTTATTCTATTACGAAAAGCCATCCTAATGCATAATTTTCATTCAAACATTTTACTGCAACGCCCAGAAGATGGTAGTCTTTTTCAGGTCACTTTACCAAAAGCCTTCTTGGAATGGGCAATGCTTGCATTTTGATAGTTTTTTTTGTCCAAATAGCTCTAAACGAGCACCAGTCAAGACTCTGTACTATAGAACTAGGAGGGTACGCTCTACAGGGAAATTAAAGAAAGATGTTTAAAAAAACAACAGTCACCCTCAGAGATTCATTATAAAATATAGAAGATGAGAAGGCACAAATACCAAGTAAAATCACAGTGTGGAAAATATTAGTTCTCATTCAACTCGATTTTAAAGGTGAAAATATTGCAGAAAAACTCAACAGATGATTGAATTTTGCACTAGCCAGCGCCTATCCTGCAGGTATGAGGGTTCAACAGTGTTATTGTCAAGCGTCTCACTAACACGCGTCATGAAGTGGCCGTCTCAGGATCGTTCAAATTATCGATAGGCAAAATAGTTCAGTTCTCCTGTTATTTTGCTGAAACGATCCCCATCAGGCGCTTGAAATCCGATTTGTGTATTCATAAAGAAAAGGTTATCAAGTGTTGGTTTGTAGGGATTTGATTGGTTTCACGATTTCATCATGAGCTGACATTAGTTAGAGAACCATTGGAAAACCTGCCAGGGAGTACTGGACAGCTGTTTCGTCCTAGTTTACGACTCTTCACAGTACGCACCCACCGGGATTCGAACGCAGGACCTTCCAGTGACAAGGCGCGCCCGTATACTATTAAGCAACTGGGACCCTGGCAGAAGTTAGAATTCAAGGACCATTGGATCGGGTCCCAGTTGCTTAATGGTATACGAGCGCACCTTGTCACTGGAAGGTCCTGCGTTCGAATCCCGGTGGGTGCGTACTGTGAAGAGTCGTAAACTAGGACGAAGCAGCTGTCCAGTACTCCCTGGCAGGTTTTCCAATGGTTCTCTAACTAATGTCAGCTCATGATGAAATCCTGAAAAGGTTATCAATCTTTTCTTTGCTATCCTGGCAACTGGATGTTTTCATCATGTCTTTCATTCGGCTACGTGAGGCCGAAAATTTCTATTTTGTATGATAATTATTGTTCTTTGGGATGAAGTGATTATTATCACTGTTATTTCCATTGTATGCATACACCGATTTATTTTGATGTTTAAAATGAACTTACTGTGTAGCTATGGGAAAATTGTTTCTGTCCATATAGTTAATTATATCTTTGGACTGTAAACAGATGATGAGAAATTCAATGAAATAATCAAAATGACAGTACCATTTTACTCAGCATAAACCTCTGTTGTTCTTGCTTTTTTCAAAGTATGCTAACTGTGTGAAAAATTGGGGTTTTTCCTTCATTAAACACAATTTATCTAATCCACATTAGAAAAAAGTATTACACTATTAATAATAATAATAATAATTTTTCCTTCACGTTCCCAGTGGAACATACGGCCCCAAGCTAGTGGCTTGAAGTTTCT